GTACGAACGTTCTCTTATAAAAGAAGCTCATCTCCCCTAAATGTGTTTCTTCATCTAAACATTAGATTTCTCAGGTATATGATTCATATTGTAGCGTAGAAATCAAGTCTTGGAATATCTTAAAAGTATTTATTGATGACGTTAGTACGACTAGTCGACAATTACCAAACAAACTATCTACAGCTAGGGAATCTTGAACAAGCAAGCAAATGAATATTTTTTATGATGTTGTTGTTGTCGTGTCCAAAGAAGAGTCTTAGATGTCTCCATGCATCTCCATCACAGCATCTCCATCATTTACCGGTACTTCGCACAGGTTGGGCTGACCGGAGGAGCAGAGGACCTGCTCATCGCCTGGGAAAAAAGGCTCATTCGCCGGGGCACATCCACCGCATGATCATCTATCTTTTTGTTTTATTTCCATTTTTAATGTAAATTATTGAAATGAAGTCTATAAAATTTGTTTAAATTGTCATTGTCCATCGCCAGCAATATCCACTATCTTGGGTGTCTAAAGCAGCTGCTCTGGTTTTTTTATGATGATTATACAAATACAGAGTAATATATATTTTAAAGAGATTGAGCAATCCATAATAATATCTAAAAATAAATATAAAGCATATATTGGATCTAAATTTATTATTTAACCAATATTTCTAGGGGCAAAACGCCTCTCTTTATCAATGTTTTTCTTTGATTTAAACTAAATCACGTGGTTTCCACTCACGCTATACAAGATCAAAGTACGAAAGTATCTGATGAAATTTTCACTGTATATAAAATATATGTACAATTACAATAAAATTTCATCAGATAGTTTCTTACTTTGATCTTGTATAGCATGAGTGGATCCCACGTGATTTAGTTTAAGTCAAAGCCTTGATAAAGAGAGGCCCCTAGAAATATTGGTTAAATAATAAATTTAGATCCAATATATGCTTTATATTTATTTTTAGAGTAATATATATTTATATAAGCGGTTGAATATTTCGATTGAATAATTAATTAAATAATAAAATATAAATTATTTCTTCGTCACAATATTATAATCGAAAGAATGATAAAATTGTAGAATTATTTTTTTACCATAATATTTCAATCTTTCTCTTTTAAATATATAAAAATCATCGCATGAATACGAAACGAGAAACCTCTTAAAGAATTTGGTTGATTGGTGGGTTTATTTGAAAGACGAGGTATTGATAATGAAATTTAAAAAAAAAAACAATTTAATGAATATAGAATAATTACGGTATATATATATATATACTATACACTCATGGACAAAACTTAAGGAAGTTTCATATTTTAATGTCACCGGTCATCTGTTATTTGAAGGAGACAGAGGTTATACACACCTAATTATCTCGTGTTTTAATAAAGGTCACTGTAATATCTCTCAGAGTTAATGTCTGAATCCCGATATACATGCTAAAAGGTACAACTTCCTTAAGTTTTGTCCATGAGTGTATACACACCTAATTATCTCGTGTTTTAATAAAGGTCACTGTAATATCTCTCAGAGTTAATGTCTGAATCCCGATATACATGCTAAAAGGTACAACTTCCTTAAGTTTTGTCCATGAGTGTATACACACTTGGTTATCTCGTGTGTCTTCAATAAAGGTCACTGTAATATCTTTCAGAGTTATTGTCTGAATTCCGATATACATGTTAAAAGGTATAACTTCCTTAAGTTTTATCTATGCGCGCGCGCGTGTATTCTTTTAAATATTTAAATATAGAATCAAATATATTTTCCCGGAAAAATAATTCAATTATTAACATTTTTTACATTTTTTCTTGCAGTTTAATTAATTAAATATTCTGTAAAGAAGGTTAAAAATACAAATGTATTCTCTATGTAAATAGGTTTTCATAACAAAACAAGATATGTATTTAAAAAGGAACATTCGTTTATATATAAAACTCCAATTTAAACCGTTTTCTCTTCATTTGAGTATTTCTACTCCGAAACCCTTCTCTCCATCCTAGAGATAGAATTTTTGCTGCTACGTTTAATTGCTAATTATTGATTATTCTGCTAATTAGCACAGAGATTGGTCTTCTGATGGAAACTGAGCATTATTTCTATCCGTACACAATAGTTAGAGCTTTTATTATTAGGAACGTTTTACCTTAAGAGTGCATTCCAATATATTCATGTATTAAAAAAAAAAAAGGCATATCCTGACCATGCTTATATCAGCATTCCTTGATGACAAAGCGCCATCTAGTGGAACAAAAATAAACTAAACGTTTAACTTGTTTCGTGATATTTGGCCAACCCAATTATATACATATTTTTTTATTGTTTTTCACATATAAATGTATTAAAAACAAAGTAGGCATATCCTTACCAGGAGCACATGTGCTTTTCAGAAGGCAGAGCGCCATCTGGTGGAACTGAAATCAACTAAACATTAATTTATCCTGTTCCCTGATATTGGCCAACCCAATTTCTTGATAAATCAAGTCAGGATATGCCTAATTTGTTTTTAATATCAACACCTGACCCAACTATTATTTTTTTTCTATTGTTTTTTTTTTCATATAAATGTATATCAAAATCAGCATCTTAACGGCGTTTATATGTTTCCATGTACTCCGGTAGAAGGGCAGAGATGCCTGAAAACTCGAGATTATGTTTAATAGAAGATAAAGGAACTCATTTTCAGAAATCTGTAGAAATTATTTGATTGATGTCCAGGAGATTTAAATATACATCCATCTTTTTAAAGATATCTATTTTTCATTTGCGTCAATTTCTTTTCCTATGAGTCAAGATCTCTACCGTCGACAAAATAGTCTACATGGAGTTTCTAGGAGAGACGAGCAGAGAGCTGCTGAGATACTAACTGGTGTTTGCACGGAGAGTGAATTATAGCATCAGCCTTACACTTCGGCTATCCGAAACCCAATGCTGGTTTTACGAGCCCACATTTATAAGAGTGAGGTGAAAAAAGAAGATATCTCTTGCCGTAAACATGAAGACAGCTCGCTTGAAATGATGATTACCCTCTTTGGTGACTTCCTTGGTTTTTAGACGCTGACACAACGGCTGTACCCCTATAGTGCGACATACCATATAGCCCATTGACATGGGAAATAAACTCGTTAATAAAAATATCACTCCTAAAGTTATTGCAATCAATATCAAATAATTAGATTATTAAAAAATAAATTATACCATTAAATTATACATGTATTTTTTTACCTAACAAACATTTTCATAAAATAGTATCAACAATGTCTAATTGAGGGCGCAACTTTGTTTACTGCGGCAGCGGTAATTTCTAAACATTGAATCAGACACAATAGAGTTAACTAGAGAAAGTTTACACGCCATGATCTTTTATGATTATAAAAATAAAATTATAAAATATAAATCGCCGGGGCTTTTTAAAACAAGAAAACTAAACTTGTTGTGAACTGTCTTTACCTCGATGAAACTGGGTGAGATTTCAAACGAAAAAGCTTTTCTTCAAGGCCTTAATATGACCGTAATAGGAAACAAATAGAGTCTTGAAGAAAATATCTTGGCTTGAAAGTTCACTAAGTTTATAGTGACAAAGATACGACTTTCTCTAAGCTTGTTAACATCCAAAATTAATATCCATAATTATTTATATACGCTAACAAAATTTTGTTAAATATGTAACCTACTTTGTATATTTATTTATGTAAAATATTTAATTATACATTGATTTTTCTTCCTAGTTAGGCAATTCAATTTATCTTCATTCTAGTCACTTTATTCATACTAGTCTTTATTCATATCACAAATATATATAATTCCCATCCCTGGACACTTTTATTTTTCCGTTCATCATTATTCTTCACAATTCATCCTTTCATACTTCATCCCTAAAGTTAGAAAAAGTCGTTATTTCTTCTTAAAAAAATTACGAATTTTCGTTCAAAAGAAAAATTTGCGGTAAAATTGTTAAACGTCGTTTTACAAATATATATCTTTAAATAAAAAGGCATATATTTGATCAAAATATCATTTATTTTATCAATATTTCAGTTGGCTGAACGCCAACCTTTATAAAGATATTAAAACATTTTAAAATGTTTAATACCTTGATAAAGGTTGGCGTTCAGCCAACTGAAATATTGGTAAAATAAATGATATTTTGATCCAATATATGCCATTTTATTTAAAGATTTATTAATAGATTGCTCTATTTTCAGAACAAATATATATATTTAATTGATATATAATTAATTAATCCATAGAATTATGTATTATTCATAGAATAATTACTATATCTAAGTCATCATAACTTTACATAACTTTCATTGCTTAATATTGGCTGAATTTTGAAGTAGATAATCACTCCTCAATAAATGGCATCTATATAGTCAAGATATAGCAATTCTTTACAAAATACATGCGTATACATATAGCAACACTTAGAGATATTATATTGGAATGTGTTAATACAAAATAAATCCCGGATTTAACGTAGAAGACATTACGAAGGCTAGAAGAGTTAACAAAAGACGTCAAACACGTGTGTTTTAGACAGTCTTTGTTCGGCTCGGTTCATTGATCCATTCCATCCCGCCCTACCAACTCTTTGGACGCTTCAGCTTTGATGAATACACATCCAGATATTTAAACAATCTATCTGGATTATTCCCAATATCTACCGATACTTCTAAGTACTAATCCTCACTATTAACCAACTGTAAACATCAAAAGTATTTTATTTGATTCTAAATCTTATTTTTATGGCGCGATTTAATGTAAAATATTGTCGCGGAGAAAAATAATTAAATAGGCTTCCGAATTACTTTAAATATTCGTTTAATTAGTTATATGAATGATTTTAAATATAAAGTTACTATAAAACGACATTTGAAATACTATCCCGCATTGTGTTTAGTTTCAACGAAACCTCAAAGTTTTGAATGTTTTACAATCACAAGCCGCATTATATTATATTGTATTATATATTACTTTATGTATTATTCACGAAAGGAAAAATATGTCCAGGGTAGCAGAGTGGACATGGCATCTGCCCGGTAAGCGGAACACTGTGGGTTCGATTCCCATCCCTGGACACTTTTATTTTTCCGTTTATCATTACTCTTCCCAATTCACCCTTTCATACCTCATCCAAAAGGTTAGAAATAATCGTTATTTCTCCTTAAAATGAGTTTTGAATTTTCGTTGAAAAGAAACACATGCGGGATGGTATTTCAAATGTCGTTTTACAATCGCAAGCCGCATTATATTATATTGTATTTTAAAATTACTATGTACATGAGACCCAGCAGTTAGAACAAGAGTGGATAACTGAGTTTAATAATATAAATAAAACTTCTACTGTCCTTACTGCAATGAAAAATGTAATTCTAATGATAAATGTAATTCTACTGTCCTAAAATCTTATGTCCATAGTTTGATAAAATATCATTTCTAAGATTCCACTCTTTGGTGTAACATATATAAGCAGAATTATCCAATACAGTATTAGAGCTCTAAAGAAGCGGTCTGGTAGATTAAATTGGCGCTGGGAGGGTTCACCACTGATTAACCAAGCCCTCCCAATATTTTTTCATCGCAGTAAGGACAGTAGAAGTTCATCATGGCGCCACTGTTTTCCCCGATCGGTCCATCCAGTCCAGATAAGAGGGATACTCTGTCCTCCTGACCATATCTTCTGTAGAAGGGCTTTGTTGCCAGAAAGTTTTAGATTTGTAAATAAAACATATTTAGATGAGAAACTTTTTCCTGGAGGCTTAATGTTCTTGTTATAATATTTTAATAGATAATGACTATATATTTATAATCACAACCTTTCTGCTATATTGGAAAAACTGGTAGTACAATTAAACATGATCTTATTAAACAAATATTAAAAGAAAAAAGATGGTAAATTTTATAGAATGATACTTTACACCACAAAATCTTTATTGAGTCATTCCGCCTTGTAATGATTCGTCATACAAAAAAAAAAGAAAAAGAAAAATGAAACCAAATATTTACACAATTAAAGGTATGAGAAAAGAGTTGTTTTATATATATAATGCCACGTTGAAAATTAGGAAAGACAAAGTTCAGGATGAGACAGTAATTTATTTAAGGCAAGAACAAACTATGAATGATAAACAAAAGATAAGCCACGAGGGAAATTTACAGAGTAGCAAAATATAAACATAAAAATGACCACCCTGTTAATAAAAATAATAAAATTAATAAATACTTTGTTAAAATATATTTTGACTTTTATTTTGTGAGATTTTTCCCAAGACCGCTTTATGGCAGTTCTATAGCTATGTTTTCTGATGGGATTTCAATCCGTTGAACTGGTGTTCAACATATAACTGATTAATACAAGGCAATAACGCGCTATCTATACACAACAAATGAAAGCATTTAAACGCGAATGTTTCTTTTCACAAATAATTCAAACTTCTACTGTCCTTACAGCGATGAAAACATATTGGGAGGGCTTGGCTCATCAGTGGTGAACCCTCCCAGCGATTTCGCCAATATAATCCACCAGACGCTTCTTTAGAGCTCTAATACTGTATTGGATCATTCTGCTTATATATGCTGCACTGAAAGGTGGAATCTTAGAAATGGTATTTAAGCAAACTATGGAAATAAGCTTTTAGGACAGTAGAATTATATTTATCATTAGAATTACATTTTTTCATCGCAGTAAGGAAAGTATAAGTTTTATTTATTTGTGAAAAGAAACATTCACGCCTTGATGTTTTCATTTGTTATATATATATATATGATTATTGACCTTTAAATTTGTTTTTTTTCCTCTTGCACATAAATACAATCGAATAGATAATGGGACATATAAAATTATACTTATACAAATTTAAATTATTTGAAAATGCTTATTTTGGATCATATTCTGGTTCACTCACAGTACTGATCCAGTTTGAATTGTGAATTACTTTCAATAAAGAGTGATGATTTGTACCTTGAAATATTGGGTAAAATATCAAAATACTGTCACCATGAATGATTGTTTGAAGAACTAGATGCATATTCATCGTAGTTGAAGCACACAAAGAGTTGGTAGGGCAGGCTAGACACCCATGCAGACCTCCATTGGTCCAAGGTATAGATAGACTTACTACAAAGAAATAATGACGTTCATACATCTTTATTATTGACACAAGCTTTCTGTAGATACCCCCTTTATCAATTAAAATTATATTTAACTTTGTTTTGAAAACAGAGCAATCCACATATTAAATTATTTAAATATGCTTATTTTGGATCATAAAGTTTTATTTTCCAATATTTCGTAAGGCAACTCGCCAAACTTCTTCGGGAATAGATAATGCACCTATTTTATTTTAATTTGTAAGATTATTTTTCATATATTTTAAATTCAAATTTATATTTCATATTTATTTATTTACTTGTTCCCCGAAGAAGTTTGGCGAGTTGTCTTACGAAATATTGGAAAATAAAACTTTATGATCCAAAATAAGCATATTTAAATAATTTAACATATGGATTGCTCTATTTTCAAACACAAAGAGTTAAATACAATTTTAATTGATAAAGGGGGTATCTACAGAAATCTTGTGTCAATAATAAAGATGTATGAACGTCAATCTTTCTCTATAGTAAGTCTATCTATACCTTGGACCAATGGAGGTCTGCATGGGTGTCTACCCCGCCCTACCAACTCTTTGGATGCTTCAACTACGATTAATTTGCATCCAGATCTTCAAACAATCAATCAGGATGACAGTATTTTGATATTTTACCCGATATTTGAAGGCACAAATCATCATTCTTTATTGAAAAGTAATTCACAATTCAAACTGGATCAGTACTGTGAGTGAACCACAATTCATTATATAAAATCGTTGTATGTAAAACGCTATGAATTGAACTATTTGTAGATATAAACTCATTAAAAGAAACTTAATAAAGTTTCATATTTTAAGAATAAAATATCTTTATTTGCATATATAACGATGGATTTATCATATATGCAAATTCGAACGTTCTGCTTAAAAATGTATATACAATTTCTGCTATATTGGAAAACTGGTAGTACAATTAAACATGATCCTATTAAACAAATATTCAAAGGAAAAAAGATTGTAATTTTTATAAAATGATACTTACCACTACAAAATCTTGATTAAGTTATTCCACCTTGTAATGATTCGTCATACATAAAAAGAAAAATAATATCAAAAATTTGCATAAATAAAAGTATGAGAAGAAAGTTGTTGAGACAAAAGATTTTTGTCGAAACGTTGAGAAAAAGCTCTAACTGGCCGGAGTGGATATTTTTCATAGAAATATATACCATTTATTAAAAAAAATAAATTTACAAAAAAAAGGTAAAACTTGCTCGTTTTGTCAATATGGGTATATTAATTTGATATTACACTTTTATTATATATATATATCGGATATATTTCAATTGATAGAGTTTTTCAAATAATGAATTTACATAGCAAGTGTGGATATTTTCCAAGAGTGAATAATATTTGAATCATAAACTGTATCGATAAATGGAGGTGATTTGTCCATCGATATATTGCTTCAAATATAGGAATAAATCCAATACATGCATTTTCTATAAACATCTCAGTTTTTTCGTTCAATATGTTTTGTAATATACGATACGCGAGAGCTTCTCGTATTTCTTTTTATATTTATAAGATC